TTTGCCCATTGTCCGAAAATGCACCATTTTTAGGGTTCCGTACCTCAAAAGGAAAAAACGGAACCCTTATAGGATTACTTAGCTGTCCTTCCGTCCATCCGTCTGTCAAGACCGTTTTTCTCAGGAACGCGTGGAGGTATCAAACTGAAATTCATATCTAATACTCAGGTCTACTGTCCCTTGGAGCTGTGAAAAAATCAAACTTCTAAGCCAAAGCAATCAAAAGATACAGCCGTTTATTCCGCTAATTTTCGAAACTCGCACGGGAAACAAAACCTACAGGGTATTTCCCGTGAACTTAGAATCTTGAAATTTTGTACGAAGTAACGTCTAATAATAACGAAGTAAATTCAGGTTTGTACGGAACCCTCGGTGCGAGAGTCATACGTAAGGAACTAACATTCATATTCTTAGTCGTTTCCTCGAGATTTTTTCCACTCGACTCAACCTCATTGGAGGAAAATCGTATGCTTAGACAACAAAAATATCCTTCACTTGAGATATTCCTCACTCGAGTGGAGGTCGAGTCGAGGAATAAACTGTCAAACTCAAGGTAGCTCTCGACGTACCTTAAGGCTTCCTCGAGTGGTGTTTAAGGTGTTTTCAAGTTTTATGTCTGATTTTGAAATTATTGACGAATTTGTGGATTTTATGTATTACGTATACGATTTATTTATTTATTTATTCAGTAACACATACACGATGATTAACCATATAATTTTCCGGCGCGACGGTATTTACGTGATGCCGCAAATCCTTTTAAGGTTTACGACAATGATTCGTTTCAAAGAAGATTTCGGTTTAGAAAAGATACAGTCATACAAGTAATATTTCCTCTGTTAACCATTATAGAAATAAAATCCTCCAAATGATGACGTCACAATGTTGAGGAATTCTCAGTGGAGGATTTCTCAAGTTTGTTCAAGATACCAACTAGAATACCATTTTCGAGGTTATTTGGAGGAACTCCTTAAGGAGCCCTCGAATGAGTTTGAGTCGAGGAACGTTTGAGGACGCGATTAAGAATATGGGTGTAAGTGTCTGATTTGAAAGATACATTTTATTGTTAGATACTGCATTTATTGAAGAAGGTTTAGGGCTATATGACATCATGCTGCAACCAGTAGGAGCGGATCATCGATGTAACATGTTGCAAAAACGGGTAAAAATATTCCATTTCTGAGCTTCCGTTACGTGCGCTGCGTAAATGATACGAAAGTATACGAAATAAAGTTATACGAAAATAAAGTATGGCGGAATTGTTTCCTTTTAAAAGTTCTATAAAAAAGTCTACGACAGCATATGCCCATCTTTTAAGTTTGGCTCTCTATAACCTTTTTCCTCAAATTAACGCTGGTTAAACCGGACCTTTAGTTGTGACATAACTGTATTGGTTAGACATATGGTATCGCGGACTTTTTTGTAGATATTGATGTCCTCTATAAAACTTTAGTATATTACTTTGCTCTACTGTCAATCTAACGTTTTTTTTTCAGACCCTGGGTTACGTTATTGAAGCTTTCATACGGAACCCTAACTTTTTTGAAAATACTCTATAGTCTATGTTCATCAAGGACGATGTAGGATTCTAAACGTGAAAGAATTTTTCAAATCGGTCCATTAGTTTCGGAGTCTATTCAATATAAACAAACAAACAATAGTATAGAAATAGAAAAATACTTTATTTGTTCTCTCACATAGAAATACATAATGGTAAAAAGTAAGGTATAAGCACATTCACAATTTAGATACCTAACTTATAACTCTATGTAAGAGACTGGCTTCTGCACTAGGAGAATCTGTATGACAGATAACCAGCCTCTCCGACTCTGGATCAGGTGGATAATGGTACCTCTTACTAATAATTGAACATAAATATAAATATTAACTTGTGAGTATGTGTTATGATGTGTGTGCGTGTGTGTGCGTGAGTGCGTGCGTGCATGTGGAAGTGTGTGAATGTGTGTTTATGATGTGTACTCGTATTTAATTTAATAATATTCAATCAAATCTTTACTCTTTATTATATTAATATAGATTGAGAAAATTTTACATTTTATTGCAACTTTATGTGTAGTTGTAGTATAGATCCCTCGTGGAATGAATTATAATGTATATTAATAATGCATTAAACTAAATCCCATTTGAAAATAAATAAAAATGACTAAAATATGATTATGATTTTATTTTTAACCGAGCTATCATTATAAAAAAAGTTGAGATCGGTCACAGTAGCAACCATTTGTCGCTATCCAACAAAGAATGTATGCAAAATATTATATTGCCATGTCATACTGCAGTCATCAGGTGCAGCATAGATTTATTAATCGAAAATTAAGCGAGGTAAAGCTAAAAAAATCCGTTGAAGAACTATGACAGTTTAGGGCAAATTAACGTGTAGCCTCCTGTGGCTGCGGAGGGCCACCTGTACATTAAGAAATAAATCAGATCATAGCTACGACAGTAGAAGTATCTTTAGCTGCGGTCCAAAGATACTCCAGTGAAGCCGAGAGACTGGCATAAACATCAGAAGACCAGGAAATGGCAAGGTAAACAAGACCAATGGTAATCACTACATAGTATAAAACAAAGTCGCTTTCTCTGTCCCTATGTCCCTTTGTATGCTTAAATCTTTGAAACTACGCAACGGATTTAATTGCGTTTTTTTTAATAGATAGAATGATTCAAGAGGAAGGTTTATATGTATAATACATGCATAATATAGTAGAGAAACACTGATAATTTAAGAGGTTTTTAATATAAGGCCGTAAATAAACACATTTTTTTGCGCTTACATTGCAAACGCTGGCTGAACCCAATAGATCAAAATAATGTACTACAGTATTGTACACCTTAAAAAGGTCTACAAAAAAGTCCGCGATGGTATATGCCTATCTCTTTGGTATAACCCACAATAACCATTCTTATTTACGAACAAGCGATTTTAAGCAATACAGCATTAATCCTTATCCAATTAAGTACCTTAAATACATTGTGCGTGTAATATAGATCAATATAACCCTCTACAGCATGTAATTTAAATGAATATTTTCGAAGATATTACAGATTTAAAATGCAGGAACATACCAGTTCGGGCAGTACTGGCCGGGGGGCGGCGGCGGCGCGTGTCTTTAGTAATTAGGTATTTAAAGAAAGTCATTGTGTTTAATAGAAACCTGAGAACAAAAATATAATCTAAACTACAGCTCTACACCGAAGCGAAGCGAGGGCGGCCACTAGTGGTATATAAGACCAATTCATCGAAAGCACTATGCTAAAAAATCATTATTCCATAGTTGTGCAAGTCCGAAACAGATTACAAGAAATTTACACAACAATACAGCTCTGTCACGAAGTCATGGCGGGACCTGGCAATGCCAAATCGTGAAGTTGATGTAAAGCTTTATAGGCCAGGAAGTGGCCCCTTAATTGGTCAGAGAATATCAAGGTGCCAGGTTGTAGACAGATAAAGATTTATCCATGACTAGCGGCCCGCCCTCGCTTCGCTTCGGTGTAGAGCTGAAGTGTAGACTACAGTTTTTGTTCTCAGGCTTGTATTATACACAATGACATTCATCTATGATTCTTCTTATACCTGCATACAAAGTCTCATCCCGATTGGTTTAAAATTGACAAAGTTTCATATAAACTTTCATCCCCTATTTTATCCCCTTGGGGGTAGAATTGATCAAAATCCTTTCTTAGCGGATGCCTACGTCATAACATCTACCTGCATGCCAAATTTCAGCCCGATCCGTCCAGTGGATTGGGCTGTGCGTTGATAGATCACTATGTCAGTCAGTCAGTCACCTTTGAGTTTTATATATGTAGATAGATCATGTTTTGCAAGTAGTCTGAATTTTATTTTTTTTCGCACATCGAAAGACGACAAGGAGAACAGTATCATCAAGTACGTTCCAAATAAATCATGCCATTCAGTGGGTGCTATGGTCTGGGATATCTATTCTATAAGGAGATAGGTTCTCTGACTGCTCAGAGCCTTCCAGTTCCAACAGAGGTTGCTGGAGTTCCACGAAGAAGTGGATTAAGATTCAGAGTTGCAAGGTACAGGCACCATTAATCTTTATGCTATGTAGTGAAGTAAATATTCTCCAAATTGTGATTAGTATTCAAACGTGTACCCATTAGCAGCGGTTTCTGATTCAAATGTAAATTACAGTTGATGTTCAAAATTTTTTAAATGAAATACCAACGGCCATCCCGCACGCGCAGAACCAGTCTGAGGCTAGTCACCCATTGAATACATTAATTTAGAAAAAAAGGGTATTATGTGGGTCAACGTCAAGATCATCGCCATGAAGTAAATATTCAAATTGAGTTTACTAAGGAAGCCAACACTTGATTGCTACTAGGCTGTTTGAATATGTATCTCGGGTCTAAGGTAGCGTTAGATTTCCATCGGGATTGGGAAAGGCTTCGTGGCGGGCTGCGAGGGCGCGGGGCGGGCGGGGGTTACCCGCGCATAGCTTTCGGCGTGAGCTTACAAATAAATAAACCAGTTTCCTGCCTCCCCCTCACCCCGCTCCCCTTCGCCTCCCCGCTGTCTGTGTGCGGCTCCGGCCCGCGTTCACCACTCGCATCATCCGTTCAATGCACGAAATTATCTCCGTGAACTGAACATTTATGAATTCAAGCTTTCTAACTTCCTTGGGAATTCATATCAACGCTGCTCCAGAATGCCAATAGTAGCGAGAAGGTACATAAACAAAGGGAGCTTTTATTGGAGTAGCTGGCGTATCGCCGCGGTAAGGTGCGCGTGCGCCGACCGCAGGTGGTTCTGCGCATTCCACGGGGATTGTTGTTGTCGGTCGGGGCTCGTATGTATTTCAGTGACCTCTTTCATTCGGATCTTTATTGACATTGGACTTCCTTTCGGTAGTATCGAGGTCGTCCGCGAGCGCTCGGGAGATGCGCGACGGCGTGTGGGGGCGGGGGCGGGGTGAGGCGAGACGAGGCGAGGCGCGCGGGCAGTACGCAGGTAGACGCGCGCGCGAGTGGTCGCCACTACCGGCTTGAGCGGCGCGGCCGCCGACTGTGATGCGAGCGCGCCGCCCGCCATGGCCACGCTCGGCCTATCCAAGGTGTTCATTCTCGACAAGTATTTCACTGAGCTGCAGAAGTTCTGGGAGACGGAGAAGAAGCTGCAAGGTGAGGCCTCGCCCCGCCCCCCCGCGCGCCCCGTCCCCGCCGCGCCGCGCCGCCGTTCATTATCTTGTGTTTCTTGAAAGCTCCAGCGTATTCACTTGTGCTCGGACAGTTGTGTGCGTATTCTAAGCTCCGCCTGTAACTTTTCTCGACAATGGGGATCGGAATACGGTTTAGACTTATACGCGGTCAATTAAAAGAAACATTATGTCATGTCTTGACACTGGATAACACAATATTACCTTAGCAGCACCAGTTTAAAGTTCTTTGGAAAACTTCTATCAAAAATTAGATGAACATTTTCCGGTCTAAGATAAAAGCTTGGAAGATAACAGTAGAGCTCGCTCTCACGCTACCCGCGGCCAGATTGGGAGGTTGTAGGACGATGCATATTGATACAAGGGGATTACGCAAAACTGCATCGAGTACGGCGCGGCGCTCCTTTGGAGCCCGTTCAGGACCGCAGCATCGTTGTGACCTGCCATCTGTATTGCTCAGACGAATTAACTGTATTGTTGCTCTTGATCACTATTACTGTGTACAAGTGTGTTATCAAACACTGATGTCGATTCTGGCATGATTCTCTAAAGCTAAACTTAAATTTGACAACTGTGCATTCTTTTCATTCTCTATACAGAATAAAAAGGAGACAGTGCTGTTAAATTTAGTTATTAGTTTTAGAGAATCACGCCAGATTCGACACCACTATCAATGTTACAATAATATAAAATTAACCAAATGTTCAGATCATTCGGTGCAACATTTGGTTCAGATCGTCCGAACAATACAGATGATGCTGAGGTCTTGCAGTAAAATAATCTACTAAAAACGCAGATATTTAGTTTTTAAACCAAACTTATTTTATCAGATCACATTATATTCTTGTAACTTGACAATGTAGGTACTTTGTTATAAAACTGATTTTCATGGTTATCAACATACATACTAATTTTACAACAGGCAATAGCGATGAATTATTAAACTAAGTATATAGGTATTATCTAGAAAAAGAGATTGTTAGTATAATTGTATAAAACGTTTTATAGTATAAATACATCAAATGTGACCTAAAGCTTCGTGTTTACATAGCTATTCGGCTGCATTTTACCGAATATAGAGAAAAATGATTATGATAATATCCAAGTTCTATGTCTGTAACGAAGGTTACACAAAACAAATTACTCAAATCAGATAATAATGAACTGACAAAGTCATTGACAATCTAAGCTTGCTGCAGCACACACACATAATTTATTTGCGGAAATTGCAATAATAATTTGGACTTTGGAACGCGGCGGTGTGAGTCAACGTATTGCACGGTTTCTGTTATTGAAGTTTGTACCAACGACTTTTCCTTAACGCCATATAAGATATGATAGACGATGTTTTATAAATATGCGTTGACTCATCTCATTGTGAGCGAGCTTTCGCGGGCAGCGTCCGGTTTCCAGTTGTAACGAATCTTGCTGTTGACGACTGCCTTTTGAGGTTTTATAAAATTCACCATAATAGCCCAAATTTTTTAAGTAAAAGTTAAAAAAAAAACAGAATTACTAACGCTCCTGTATATCGAAAACTAAAATATGTTGGTAAGTAAATCAAAACCTTAGGGTACGTATTTTTTTTTTATTATAGTAAGTAAAAAAGGCAAGGTTTCTGTACACGAAATCGGTAGTGGGTACGAAACGTCGCGGAATTTTTGTATGCAAATTGAAATATAAGCTATTCATCAGTCGTTTCATAGCGATTTATGATATAATTCGTGTTAGAAAGTTTTAAAGTCTAAGCTTTTGAAGCTGGGGCGATATGACAGGTGCTCGTCACAATCCCGTGACATCACAGGCTCATAAGGGATGCTGGTCGGGCCGCTAGATGCTGGTTTTTCCATCGAGCTACACGATAAATCATGTTAGGAGTTAGGCGCAAAAACTTAATAGAGTGGTGATCGTGCGAGTGGCGAGTGCAGGAGTGCGCAGCGCCGCGTGCGCGCGTGCACGCGTAATTACGCGCCGTTTTTGCGCTGCGTCCTGTCATTAGTTGAAGCCTGGCGTCTCACTCGATGGAAGAATGCACTGTAACAACTACGGTGAAGGTGTGTTACCTGCATCATCCATTGACAGCTAACATCTCTCATGACAAATCAAAAGTATGAAAAAAACTCTTGAAATATCTTAAATTTTTTCTTTGAATTCTTTTAATGTTAATTCTTATTTATTATGGTTTATATATAAACTGATAAAATAAACAAATAGATAAAGGAAATACCACCAATAATTCAATAGGAAATTGCTAGAATAATCTCGTTACAAGCGTTGAAAACCATATATTCCAACTGAATTATTTATTCTTTTTGAAATCATTTACAAGTGAAATAGGGGAAAATATAAATCTTTACAACATGAAGAAAGGTTGCTTTGTTTGCCATCAGCAAAACTATAAATTTCCGCACATAAGTAATAAAAAACTATCAGTAAATATTTTTCTTATGCCAGAGGCGTAAATATTGCTAGACTTCATATAAAAGACATCAACGCGCTACGTAACTTTTTCATTTCATTAGTACAATCGATTTTTTGAAGTTTACTCATTAATTCAACTGCTACAATGAAACGATTTGCAACTAAAATGAGTTTAGTAATATTACATTGATAAAAAAATATATCAACAACAAAGTAAAATTAACACATAAGCAGCACGGGAAAATTAAAAAAGTATACCTAAGTAATAATTGTACACACTTAATAGCAGTTATGTTTTACTTTCTTACAATAAACAGGTTTATGTTAATGTCAATTACACACACAACAGGTCGGACATTTTGAGAATGCAGAGAACAAGCGGACACGATCCACACAAAAGACATCAACGCACCACCTCCATGCATCTAATTAATATTCTATTTGTTATCGTTCTTTTAAAGACTTATATTGCTTTTATGAGGTGTTTATGCGGTAGTAATAAGCATAGTGATTCATGATACACCTCGGCGTATATATATACTAATATTTAAAAGCTGAAGAGTTTGTTTAGTTGTTGAACACGCTAATCTCAGGAACTACTGGTCAGTTTTGAAACATTCTCTTTGACGGATAGTGCATTTATAGAAAAAAAATGTGTGCGTGTACTTATGTAGGCGCGTGAGAAGTTATCCTTCTTTCGCACCGTTTAAAATTAGTTTTTAATTGCATGCAAATAATTAATTACAATAAATTAATAAAAAGTCTGGAAAAGGACACAGAAGACAAAAGGAAACTAGAAACATGTCGATAAATATTATAAACATGAACCTATAACTGTTACTTTATTACAAAAAATAAAGATGTGGTTTTTGGTTCTACTACACCAATGGTCAAGAGATGGCGCTGTAGTCTCCTGAATCGCGCTTTGGTTCCGTTGTTCCAGATTAATAAATACTTTTGATAGGCCTTCACAATGCAGTCGTTAGCACCCACTAAATAGAGATTCTATTTCTATTTTGTTGGTAGATTTTCTTAATGTGCGGCAAACACAAAAGTAACAGCATGCTGTTAAAATTTTGTGTTACAGTGCTGCGCGCGCATCTTAAAATTTCACTCTCATCATTTTTTCATAACGCGCCTAAAGAAGTATAACTTCAAAAAGCTATGACCAGTAGGAGTGGAGCATAGATGAAAAGTGTTGCGAAAACGGGAAAAATATTCCATTTGAAAGCTTCCGTTGCAGCCGCCGCTTAAACGGTTAAAATTACACAGAAACCATGTATTATTATTATTCCCCTTATTATTATTACGAATTATTCCCCTTTAAAAGTCCACTACGTCCATCTTTTAAGTTTGATTCATTGAAATGAAATGAAAAGTCATTTATTCAGTCTAGGCTGTTACAAGCACTTGTGAAGGTCAAGAAGCTACGCCATCGGTTCGCAAAACTACGGCGGGAGACATTGTACTGAGAAGAACCGGCAAGAAACTCAGCAAGGGCTGTTTTTTTCTCCCTGTATTGTTATATACAGAGTCGTCAAGTTGAAAAATGACTTCAGAGATACGTCTGAAGTCACCTTCCATTACATAATTTGGAATATAAATATAGAGTTACAACAAATTTTATGGTTAACATTATATTTAGTATATAGGAATCGGCATTAGATAGGTACAATATAACTGTCATGAAAAATGACAAATACCCATTAAATAACAAATTATAAGAAACACTATGACCATGCATTACGATCATTTAGATAATCATCAACTTTATAATAGCCCTTATTCATAATAGTATTTTTGATCTGAGATTTAAATTTAGTCAGTGGAAGCTCAATCAGATCTAGGGGTACTTTATTAAACAATGCAATACTACAACCCAGAAATGAACCTCTTGATTTTTGGAGTATGAAACATGGAACGGCAAGCTTGTTCTTAAATCTCGTGTTAAAGTTATGGCCATTATAACCTTTTTCCTCAAATTATCACGGCTGAAACCGCGAGAGGCCTCTAGTTTAAATAAAAAATAAACAGTGCCGATATAAAATGCCTGGATAGCCTTCCGCACTAACGTTAAACTCATTTCCTAAGTCCCTTTTAGTCTCATCATCGATATATTTTATATATATGTACGTATGTATACGTGTATTGTATGTGTATATATATGTATGTGTGTGTGTATATTTATATGTCTTGTGCTTATGTATATTTAATTATTATGTATAAGATAAGTATTTTCTATTATTGTATGTTTATATTATTAATTATTTTTTTACTAAAGCCGCATTCGTTACTTTCTGTACTCCTGAAGGTTGACTGGCAGAGAATGCTTTTAGCGTTAAGTCCGCCTTTTTTCCTTTTTGTAATTGTGGCAATAAAGTTTAAAAAAAAAAAAAAAAACAAGTCGTAACTCAAGTGTCAGCCAGTGGCTCCGTCTTAGTTATCTATCTCATACATCACGAAACTTAATAGCCTTGCTTTCCGGTTGGATTTTGTTGATATGGTGGTTTTATCTGTCGTGTTAGCGGAACTTTTACACATTAC